TTGAAAACAAAAGAATGCATCTTTGACAATCTTTGAAAAATCCATAATCAAACAGGCAGGAAAAATTATATCAGATCCTTCCCACATCCTCAACTCTGAATATCAATTTATTTCTTCCTTCTGGCAAACATTTTAGGGTTCCCAAATGTAAGTCAAACAGATACGAACATTCCTTTGTTCCACTTTCCATTACAGCTGGCAACACAAATGTCAAGGATAAACACAATTGGGACTCTTACAACCCACTTGAGGGCAATATGTTTTGTGATGCGCTATAAATGTTACATGTTATGCGTTATACTGTACATGTGCAATAGAATGATGTGCAATGTTTTTCTTATTTTTTTAATCGTTTAATGTGCAATGTTTTTCTTCTCCTTTTTTTGCATTCTATTTAAATGTACAGGAGTCCTGGGTGTCCATAAACAAATTCCCTCAGGGGACGATAAAAATCTGATCTTATCTTATCTCACCAGGCTGATGCAGGATTAGCACTCACAAAACATAGTCTAACTATCCTTCTCTTCATAAGAAGCTTTCTGCATGTGAGTGCCCAGTTCAAGGGTGTCTCTGTCCCCACCAGACCTCATAGAATGAGTTGCATGCTTTTTGTGCTAGAACTACACCCACCAGCAACAGGCATTTTTCCAGGAGGCTGATAGCAACCTTGATCTCAGCGGCATATTAAAACCAGAAACATCTAAAACTCACATAAGTCAAATACAAAGCAAAGCATGTGCAGGTAGGTTACAGTCACGCCACTGCAGATTTTTCTGAGAAGGTTGGCAGCAATCTTTATCTGGCACTGCCAGCGTAGTATTGAATACACTTTACGTGTAAGCTTAAAATGGACAGGATGCTGTACAAAATATTTAGAGGGTGAAAGGTATTGTCCTAGATGGCATCCCGAATCAGGATTACCATCTATCTTATCTAGCACTCGATCTCTGTGGGTGAGTACTGATTTTAGGTGAGAAAAGAAAGTCATGTAGAGAAAAAAAATGACTTCTAGTAGTGACGGTTAAAAGAATTGGATCAGTGACTGGATTGGAGGATACAGCAGTATCCCATGGCAACCCACAGGACTGAGTGGATTGTGAGATGCACATAATAGGAAAACGCAGGAGGACAGTAAGTTTCCTTAGTTCCCAAAACATGTGCAGACCATTGTTGTTAAAGATGTTTCCAAGAGTGTGATCATTTCCTGTAGCCAGCAGGGTAGATTTGAAAAAACTGAAAACGAGTAACGGGAAATTATTCCAAATCGGTGAGTTTATGACGTTTTGGGGGGCTGCCAAAAAGTCAGTTGACTTTCCTCCAAAATTCTAATGAGTTTGTAATAATAGGGCCCATTTGAAGGAAAACAGTTATGTCTTTCAGAGCAGAAAATGAAAGATCCTGGGGTGTAATTGGTTTAATTAATGCCTCCTGAATTGTGTGCCATGAGGATGATGCTCTATGATCTATCCAAGTGCTAACTACCCTCAACTGGAAGGCACAATTGTAATAATTTAAATTAGGTACAGTCAGACCACCAAAAGCTTTGGATCACTGTAGGGCTATCGAACACATATTTGCCCACTTACCCTTCAAATGGAACTAGTCATTACGGAATTAAGTTGTTCTAAGGATTGTTCTCATAAAGTAAGTAAGTAAAGTAATAATAGTAGATTAGCGTGAAAAAGTATGATAATTTGCTCCAACTTTGCTTGCAACATGGAAGACCGAGTGAGAAATATCTGAAAGGAATAGGAAAATATTATCTGAACAGCGTGGGGTATTGAGATCTGTATACTGTATAAACGGAAATTGTGCTAATCTGCAGTAGTGATAATCTGAGCCAGTAGCACTAACAAATGAATAAACATTAACAGTGATAATGTGCACCCCAGTTGAGTGTGTGTTCCAAGTGCAATTAGCACACAAGCTCTAGGGCTTGTATAGAATAGGAATCATATTGATAAATAAATACCCAAAATCATAGATCTCTAAAATAGCACACAAATAGTTCCATTGTGGTCAACTGTCTGTTTTTCTGCATCTAATGAAGTGCTGAACAAGAGGCTAGTTGATGAAGAACCTGAGTTTGGAAGAGACCAGAACTAAATCAGACCATTAAAAAGCCTGTCTGGTCGTGATGGATTAGATGGCAAGTGCATGTTTTCAACCATTTAAAATAAAACCTGTGGAAACAATTGCATGTCTGTGTTTAATAGTGATAATGGCCTGTAGTTCATCCAGCTGGTTGATATTTGCTTTTTTCAAAAATTAATTAAGATTAGAACTGTTTTTTATCACCAAAAAGAGGTGGCCTCCAATCACAAATATATGAATGTTGTATTGAAGCAGCTGTCAGGCAAAATCCGTGCTCCTACATGAATTGAGAAGCATAGTTACCTTTAACTTCTATAGAATTAAAGCAGTATCTTGAAATTCAGCCTATTTCGTAGGTTGCCAAAGTAGTTCCAAATGTTAATCATGGACTAATAGAATAGGATGTGAAATCAAAATGAGGTGTAAGAAACTTTATATTGTTCAACTACTTTTTGGACAGTTGGGAGATTTAAAATAGTCTAGTCCCTTGGGATTGTTTTAGTACAAAATTACACACCCAGTTCAGAAAGAAGAGTAATCAAGGCAAAAATAATTAGCAGGTGTGAATTATTAAATCAGAAAAATGGATTTTGCTACATACAGTAACAAACCAGAATCTTTTCTGCAGTTTTACTTGTGCACTTCTAAAAGCATAACAAATGTTAATATTTTGTTCTCTTTCCAACTGCTTCCAGTATTTCCTTTTAAACTTAAATATACATAAGAATTTAAGGTAGGAGTTATTGAAGTGAATACCCAGACTCTTAAAACCTAAAGTCATTAAAAGCAGACAGAATCCCTAGGAGTTCTCATATAAACTGTCTTCTTAACAGCAATGGGTAGCCAGGCAGAGTCTAAGGCATTATTTCTGCTTTGGGATGATTTAAAAATAGTTTCTTATCCATGAACTGCATGCATATGTCGGAGATGCTCTGCTGTAAATTATAATGGCAAAACTATTAGAAGATAAAAGAAATGCTGCCATCAACCATCTTAAGTTAGGGAGACTTATCAAACTGTGAGGAGTTGTGCTGAAAGAATATTGCTGTGAGAGAATGGTTAAATTATGCAGTTATATCATTATAACATATATATAACATATTTGTTGTTGAAGTAGTGTATATCATTAAGAAAAGGTAAGGATGTGATGCATTTAATTTTTACTTAATTTCTCATTCTCATGTGTTTCTCATACATTAAGAGAAAGCTTGTAAGTCTACTTTTTAAATTTCCCTCCATCAAGACATGATGCCAATTGTTTTTATTTATGTTGTTCAAAAGTTCACCTGGATAATCTACAAAGTTACTTCATGTTGGTGTTTTGTACATTAAATAGTCTGTATGATATTAATGTTTAAAATATATTATCCATACTTTGTTTTAAAACTACGCCACAAAAATGGACACTTTTTCCAGGCAGTGTTCTTTGTCTCTGAGATTGCTGTATGATCATTTTGATTACGCCTTTTAATTACATACAGTAACAGCTTAGCATATAATAAGCCCTTGATTGTGACATGTTTATTTACTGATCAGTGAGACTTTCAGCATTGAAAAAATCAGTGAAATGAAGGCTTAAAAATACTTTTTTCCTTGCATTTTGTGTTATGAATGATTGGCATTCTAGATTATATTTTCTTTTATTCAGACTTATTCAGTTTCTGTATCTTAAATTATTCAAAACTGTTGAATTATACTGTATTTGTGCACAACACCAATTTATTTAGGAACGGATTTTTTTTTATTTGGATGATATTCTCTTAATGAGTCCCATGAGGGACATAATAGCAATCAAGAAGGCTGCAAAAATTTAGCTTGTTTGGTAGATTGGTATTTCAGTAAATCTCAAATTTAATTTGGCCTTTTCTTAAAGGATCCTATAGTTGGGTCTGAATCACCTGCTCCAGATAACCACAACCTTTTGCCTGAAAAATTGTACTAATTCTCCATTCTAAGTAAATTCCATATTATTTGCAATTGTGCCCCAGATTCCTTGTTTTACTATTGGATGACACATGGTCCCCTATGTTGACCATATTAACACCACTTACAATTGTATATATTTCATTTACATCTCTTCTCAATCTCTTTTGTTCCAGAGTGAACAGATTTAACTACTTTAACCTGTTCATAAGTGACAATTGGCTGAGACCACGGATCATTCATTGTTGTTTTTCTTTGATGTCTTTATAAAGTTATAATATTCTCTTTCTCATATGGTGACCACAATCTCACGCAGTATTTCAAATGAGGAATAGTGCATTGTAAAACTGACACACACCTTTCCTCGATTTGAACTTCCCCTGTGTTAGTACTGTATATCATTCTCTTTGTTTTTTATTACTTTTAAGTATTATATTTTGTGACCCAGAATTTACAATTGGCCTTAAATTCTAATTCATGTGTTGACTGTTTCTAATAGTTCTTAACTGTAAAATATCTGACTCCCAGAGACAGTGCAACGACAGCATTATTATAATAATAGTCTTGTTCTGCTCCTCCGTAATATTTTACAAATTACCCCACTACAATATAATATTGATTTTGAACCTACTACTGTACAACTCTGAATTATGTTATAACTAAATTGATTTAACTTCACTGTGATTAGGTCAGACAAGGGATTTAAAAAAAAATAGTTTTTAAAAAAATCTTTAAGCACATTCATCTTAATTAAATCAATGAATTTGAATCAAACAAAACAAACAACAAAAGAATATGACTGGAAACCTATAGAACCATTGATAATTGTTTTGTATGTGATCTTAGTAAATGTATCCCTATTGACTTTAACAACCTTTCCTCCCAAAATATTTCCTCTACTATTTGTCATTATGGGCAGAGTATTACAATGCAGTTCTTTTTCAATGCCCTTGACTGACAGCGTGTCTTGGTCTCTTTTCCAGCGCCTTGTAGAAGCTGCTGAAGAGGCTCACTTGAAGCATGAGGAGGACCCAGACTTGCAGGTAACCTGTGAAAATATGAGCTTTGTTGAAAACCAAGAAAAGACTGCAAACTACAGGAAGTTTAATGGTCTGTGTTACTCAGGCCTTTCATCCAGTTCTTGCTCTTAAACACGTTTCTTCCTTTTCAACTACGACATTTTACAAATAAAGTCTCCAATGTATTCGTTCGGTTAAAGGTGGGATTAAGTTACTAGGGATGGGGTTTCACTGGAATGAACGCCAGTTGGCGTTGGAGATCCCGAGGATCAGAACTGGGAAGCCCTCTGCTAGGCCAAACCTGACATTAATGTGCAGCAAAAAGAATTTAAGTATTTCTTTCTTTTATTGCCGTTTGTTGAGTATAGTATTTCTCTCAGTATCCCACCAGGGTTTGCAGACTCCCAAGTGAACATTCATTCTAGCACAGTTGCATGGTTTAGAGCTGTGAAAGAAGACTGACTGTTCCAAACTGAATGGGTTTATTTCCAAACAGAAATAATTAGAAATCGCTGTTCCTTTAAGATGGTCAGACTACACCACTCGAGTCACGTCAAAGGCAAGACTTCAGCACTCTGGATAGCTCTGAGCAGAGGAGATTGCCCTCTCTCAGTGTTACAATCTGGGCAGTCTGCAATCTTGCAATCTGGGCCTTCTTCTGGATTGTGTGTGGAACAATAAGTATTATTTTTTTATTGCAAGTTGCTCTTGAATCGAAAGTAGCAGTTTGTTTGAGTGGCCTACAATATGATACTTTTAACAAGTCACAGCACCCTGAGTTTGTCTAACAGCATGAGAATCAGCTTCCACTTCTTCTATTAATTGTTTGATAATCCAGATTTACATTCCTCTCTATACACCTAAAATAATTAAATAGTGAAACAAACAGGTGCAAAACAAACAGGTGTTGACTGATACTGGACCCTTTTTGTTACTGGATAATTAGTGCATGCCTTTTTCATAGTTTCATAATGTTAAGTTTCACCTATTCTGCCTTTCCACTAGAATTGCAAATGTATCACATTGTTTTTTGTCATTCCTGTACCCATTTCACATGAATAATTAAAAGGTAATGACATAATTGGTAATAGGAGAGATTGCGTACATGCTTTAAAAAACATGTTAGTATTTTTTGTATGGGTGGTTTCGCTGTTAAAATTCCCTTCCCTCTGCAAATGAGCTCCAGGGCACAGGGCAGAAAAGCTCCTTAATCTGGCCTCGTCTCCATGACGTTTAAATTAAACTGCTTCCAGACATACTTTTTTCCTGTTATGCTTAAAATCCATTTTTGCAATTTCAGGAAATCACTTTCCTTATTAATCGTATTGTACAATTGTATGGTGAAGGTTGGAGGAACTGGAAAAGGCAGAAGTAATTTCACCTGCTATAAAAAACACTCATTTGAAATTCAGGAATGCTCTGACCAGGAACAGTTTTGCCTCACGCTTGCCATCTCACAAAAAACATCACTGTATTTTGCAATAATTTAGGGATTTCATTTCCAAGATACAGTGCTTATTGAAGGTATTAGGCAACTGCCAGTGAGTGACAGACTTGCTATGGAACACACTTTTTTTTCTCAGGCAGTTTCATCACACAGATAAAATTGGATTTAAAAGGTGAGTTCCAAACATCAGGGGAACTTTCTTTTTTCCAAAAGATAAGAAGAATTTCTCATCTGTGGCATTAGCAATCTATGTGTGATCTTGGGTTTGTACAAGCCTTGGATTCTGATGTTGGGTTTGTACTTGTTGTTGGCCACTTAAGGTGAAATAGAACAAAAGTCCTAGCCTATGTGTAGCACGTGTGCCATTTTTCCAATTCAAAGTACTGTAAATTCTGCAATTAACACTGTAATTGCACTGTTTGCAGAAATGTAATGTAAAAATGCTTTATAACATTGTTTTACAAGGGCAATGTCTCAGATCAATTGCAGTTTTATTATTTTTTTGAGACAAGAGTATTCACTGTTTTAAAACTGGTGTTAAGGTAAAAGTAAGGTTTTGAGATTAACATCAGTTAATGCAACAGGATATTTCAGTCAAATCCAATCATGGCTGCTGTTATTCTGTAACATAATTAAGAGTATCTACATTAACATAATCCAGTCCAGATACGCAAATGATTTAAAGGTACAGTTTAATCAAAATAGTGCCGTGGCACAATTAGAGTATACAGTATGTAGGTTCTTTTTCTAAGAATTTGTTACTTGACCTCAGATTATGAGTATTTAACCCAAACAATGTGTAATGAATTTAAATGACCAAGTAACCAAATAATTCCAAAATTACTTGATTGAATAACTACGGAAAAATGAAAGCAATTCTGTTAACACAAAGACCTTTACATGCCTCGGAAATGTTTTGGAAGCTGTTTACGTGTCAGTAGGATTAACACGACAGTAAAATTGTGGTAGAGGACTTGTCATTTATTTCTGCCACGCTCCATTAAAAATAATCGATTCTTAATCTCAGTTCCAGCGACCCCTTCATAACCTTCTCTGCGAGATTGTTGTTCTTTATCAAAACTCATCTGAGCCTCTGCTCTTGAAGTCGTGTCTGAACCGATTGGAAGGAATAGAGGAGGTCAGAGCAGTAAAGACTTGGCTGAGTGACTCCCTTCCTCTTAACTATGCATGTGCCCTGTCCTGTATACTTCTTTCTTTTGCCCAGGCCCAACAGTCAGCATCTCTTTCATGCTAAATTCAGCTTTGCATAAACTAAATAATGCCTTACGCTAATCCATCCGTCTTCTCACTGTTTTGTCCGATACAGCATGGCGGGGGCGCCAGAGGCTATCCCAGCAATCAGCGGGCACAAGGCGGGGTACACCCCGTGTGGGGCGCCAGGCACACACAGACACACACATGCTCACTCTACCACCAGGGTCAGTTTTCCCAAAAGCCAACATCTTTCAGCTCTGGGAAGAAAGCGGAGCACCCACAGCAAGTCCACACAAACACAGGGAGAACATTAAAAATCCAGTCGGAACGCGTGTTGAATCAGTGTTGAAATAGCTGCAGTATTGTGCTCAACTAATTTTACCTAGTCATTTACTAGTTTCGTTTTGAGCACTGAATATCTATTTCGAGTGTACTAATGCAGATTATGTAGTTTTCATTTATGCTGTATGTACAGTAATACATCTCAGTTCATGAGATTGAGCATTACAAAGTGTAACCAAAACATTAAAGCTCAATATCCTACTGTGGTTAGAACATGGTGGGAGGGCATTTTTTATTGAACCGAGTGTTACATTTAATTTTAAATTTGTCATAGAGCAAATGTTCCCTTATTTCACCTCCCCGCCATGAGTTGTACACACTCCTGAATTTCCATTAAAGGACCCCTGAAATAACATGAGACCTTGGCAATAGAGGCATGCAGTGCCAGTAAAGATTTGGCCATATCAGCAGCAGAAATACAAGTCTCTACCATGTCTCCTTGGAGTGTCTCCGAGCAGTGGAGTTCCATATAAGTAATGGCAAAATAGAGCAGGATCAAGTAAAAGAGGGGGGAATGTGAAGGCCAATATCTTTTAGCCATGCTGAGAGTAGGGTGTGATACAATATGCTGGACTTAGTTAATGCTGTTTTCTGGAGGAATCTTTCACTGCCAAAACTGGATTGATTACAACGGATCCCTTCTGTCCCCCACGACCTTTGTTTTGTTTGTCATCCCCATGATATAAACACTTCTGGAAAAATAGCTGACTATGTGTTCAGCCTGGCGAATTCAAAGCAATGAAAAAAGCTTCTGGTGATATCCCAAGAGTGACAGACTGTGATAGACAAGGTGATATACAACACCAAAGAGCTGAAGAAAAGACATGAACCATGACTCACTCAATGACTCATTGCTTGATTTTCTTTCACCTGTTTTTCACATGGTTCCATGACAATATAACAATCCCAGTGTAGCAGGACTAATTTCCATTTTCGCATAAATGGTAATAATGTTGATAGTCTAACTGGACCAGATGACAATCTACAGATTGTTAAAATGCTACTAGTAATAGTTATGCGTCTTGTTCCTTACATAAAATAGTGCTAATGGTGAAAGTGTTAAAACTAGTGGTCTTAAAAAGACAAATCCCAATCCATGAGGGCTAGAGTCCTGTTGGTATTATAGAAGGTTTTCTGTCAGCAATTGATTAAGACCTAAAAGAACAGGTAATTTGATTTCTGATCTAAGTCATTAGTATAATTCCGTAATTAAAGATAAGAGTTCAAATGAACACCAGAGGTGCCTGCAGTCAATAAACAATGTCTCTAAGAAAGAAAATGAGTTATTTTTTTACAGGGTGCAAAGAGCTGGGGGTGATTTTTAGCACTGTACTCGTGACGTGAAAAAATTCAATACTCCATTAACTTGTTAGAAAGGGAATTAGCCTTTTTTAAGGTTCAAGGATTGTTAAAAAAAAGTGATAAAGAGTTAACGGGCAAAAGGTTACTGCATCTTTAATTATGCATGCTCATTGCTTCAAAAAAGAAAACATAAATAGTTGATAGTTAGGATCACAAGCTGAGCTAAGTATAATGATGCTTTAGGGTTAAGTATTCTATATTCCAGTTTTTAATTTGATACATATTTAGCTTGAAGGGTTTTGATGTGAATTTGCTTATCTTTTCGTTCCAGAACTGCATTTATTATGAGCAATTGGAACAGTAATCTGTTCATGTTTTTTTTTTCTCAAATGCTCATGTGATGGGTGATGCCCCCCAAAATTTGTACCGTCCCCGGTGCACACTGAAATCTTGCACCTACACCCTGTAGGACTTCATGAAAATTAAAGCAAACTAAAGCACATAAACCCTGTTAAATGGTATGTTTCATACTGTTTTGAAATAATTATTTGTTCACAAGTCTCAGAGGCAATTACACTTACTCAGATTCCATTTCAGTCCTTTGGCAGCTGACTTAATTCCATGGCTACATTATATGCAATTACAAGCCGATTTTGGAAATGCCAAATGTGATTTTCATGGATGTCCAAAATGTCAGAAAACAGTTTAAATATTAGGA